TACTCACTATCTTGCCCATGTAATTGTAACCCCTCTGTACAGTATTTTCACAATAAAAAAAAGAAAAAAAAGAGGAAGGAGTCTTATTACATGCTACAACATGGATAAACTTGGAGGACATTGTGCTAAGTCAAACAAGCCAGTCAAATATAGACAGACACCACTTAATGAAGTAGTTGGAGTAATAAACTCATGACAACAGAACATAGAAAAGTGGTTGTCTGGATTTAGGAAAAGGAGGAAACTAGAAATTAGTCAACAGATATGGAGTTTTCATCATATGCGATGTCATTAGACAATGTGTATATAGTGAACAATATTGTATACTTAAACTCTGTGAGAGTAAAGTTACATTATATTTGTTGGTTGCAATAAAACAGAAACTAATGTAAATTAAGGGGAGTGAAAAATTATGAAATTATGAAAAAAAGAAAATGTCAAATAAGATTATAAGCTATTGCTGCTAGTGATGCATAATATACTGCTATTATTGGTCTTTTTACATAAACATAAATATATATACAAATATATTATTTGAATTCTTGGGAACTTTAGCTGTGCTCTAAACTTTGGAAAAAGTATCCCAGTTAAGTTGACATTGTCCAGAAATTAAGAGCCATATTGGCCTAAACTTTAAATTTTTCACTTGTACAGGGATAAATGCGTGTATTAAATATGTCAAGTCTTATCTGTGTGGGTTTGATTACAGAAACTAATAAAACATTCTTTAAATAATGAAGAAAGTTAAGATTATTTGACATTATTATGGCAATTCTGAAGGGTAAAAGATACTGAAGTGATGAGATGAAATGTGGTGCTACTAAAAAGAATATCTGAACAATCAAAGAAGAGTTCTTAGAAATAAAAAAAACTGCGATGTTAAAATCTGAAGAGTAAGAAAAATGGTATTTTCTTAAAAATGGGAAAAAATGAAAAATATAAAAAGAAAATAAGAAAAGGAGAAGGAGGAAGTAGAGAAGAAGGAGAAGGAGGAAAGAGAAAAATGGGAGGACAATGTGAGGACCAAGTTATGTAATTCCAAAAACAAAATTTAAGACTGGAAGAAATCATCAAAGAAAAATGGACTGATATAGGCACACATTGTGACATTTCAAAACTCTGGCAGCCAAAAGATCCTACAAAAGTAGGAAGGGAACTTATTTTCAAATTTAATAGCATTGAATCACTTCTGACTTCTCAAAAGTAAAATCTAAGCTAAAAGAACAAAGCCTTTGACATTCTAATAGAATGATTTTCAACTTAGAAATCTGTGTTTAGACAAAACATCAATGAAATGTGACATGATATTAAAAACGTTTTTAGACTGTAAGTCTTTACAAATCTTTTCTTGGGAAGCTATTAGAGGGTATATCTCACCAAGTTAGGTGAGAAAGCAAGAAAGAGAAAAGGGTGCGACAGATTGGGAGAAAATATTCAGCAGCTATATAACACACAAGGACCTCAGATCAAAAATATATATACAGCTCAAAAAATTAAACCCCCAACAAAAAAATCCTCAAAGAAACAACCTCCCCATTAATATTAAAGAATTAAAGAGTCCTCTAGAGAAGAAATAAGAATAGCCAATAGACACATGAAGAAATGTTCAACAACTCTGGCCATAAAAGAAATGCAAATCAAAACCACATTGAGATTCCACTTAACCCCAGTTAAAATGGCCATTATCAAGGAAACAAATAATATGTTGGTGCCCTGGATCTTGTATATACACTTGTCTAATTCGGGGAGGAGAGGGAAAAAACAAAATCCTTAAATAAGGATACAGGTTAAAAAAAAAAAGGAAAGAAAACAAATAATAGTATATGCTGACAGGGATGTGGCCAAAACAGTGGGGATGTGTCCCCACTGTTAGTGGAGATGCAAACTGGTTCAACCACTCTGGAAAGTAGTATGGAAGTTTCTCAAAAGACTAAACATAGAACTTCCCTAGGATCCAGCAATTCCACTCCTGGGCATTTACCCAAAAGGTCACAAGCAAGGCCACACTAAAGCTACCAGCACAACTATGTTCATTGCAGTATTATTTACCACAGATAAGATATGGAACCAACCCAAATGACCCTCAGTAGATGAATGGATTAAGAAAATGTGGTATATATACACAATGGAATTCTATGCTTCCATCAGAAAGAATGGCATCACCCCATTTGTAAGGAAATGGAAAGACTTGGAAAAAAAATCCTATTAAGTGAAGTAATCCTATTAAGTAAAGCCAGGCCCAAAGAAACATAGGCTCCATGATTTCTGTCATTTATAAATAATTAGTATATGTCTAAGATCCTAGCAGAGGATCACAAGAGCTCAGTAGCTCAATAGGTATGTCCATATGATCATAAAAATGATGCTAATTGAAATGAACTTCAAGATATGAAAACAAAGTTTTTTAGTTGTTGTTGACCTTGTTGTTGTCAATGTACTGTATCAAGTTCTTTCTTATTTTTTTTTCTTTTTCCCTTTTGTTTATCCCCGGTAGTCACTGTTTTTTATTCTGGTACCCTGCGTCTTGTATATATGATTATCTGATTTGGGGGAAAAAAGGGAATAACAAAATGGTGAAACAAGGACAAAGGGTGAACCAATGCAACAGTAAAACTCACAAGAAACTATGTTGGAAATGAACTTTACAACTTGGAGGTGAGGAGAGGGATAGTGGGAAAAAATGAAGGAGTGGGTAACAATATTAGACAAGAAATATACTCATTACCTTACTTATGTAACTGTAATCCCTCTGTATAGCATACTTACAACAAAATAAAATAAAAATTTTAAAATGTAAAAAAAAAAAGTGTGGGAAACAGAAATAAAAGATAGAGGAAGGCAACCACAAAGGATCTACCTTTACATCCTAGGACAGCCAGTCCACACTGGAGGAGTGTAGTAAGCCAGGAAGTATGTTTTTTGTGAAACTGATGGATGGTCTGAAGCATCAAACATTTTGAAAGGAGATTTAGACAACTGGAAGAGAGTTTAGGGTTTAAATTAATTATAAGTCCATAGACAACTAAGCACATATTAAAGAAGACAATATTCAAAATGCAATCAAGGAAAGAAAAGTAGTCATGATAAATTGCAACATTTAGCTGTGAATATCTTGCCCATTTACTGTTGTAAACATTGATTATTACCTAAACAAAGTACCTATATAATTATTTATATATATATATATTTATACACATGTGTGTACATATGTTTGTACACAGGCTGGTGCTCATGCCTGAAATCCTGGCTACTCAGGAGGCTGAGATCTGAGGATTATGGTTCAAAGACAGCCTGGATAGGAAAGTCCTTGAGACTCTTATCTCCCATTAACCACTAAATAGCCAGAAATGGAAGTGTGGCTCCAGTAGTAGAGCACTAGCTTTAAGCAAAAAAAGCTCAGGAACATCCAGGCCATGAATTCAAGCCCCAAGACCAGAACACATGCCCATAAAAAAGTAGCTAGCCCATAAAAAGTAGCTAAAGCAACAAGGACTAGAGATGTGATTTATGGATAGAGGACTAGCCTAGCAAGCACAAGGCTCTGAGTTCAAACCCCCAGTCAGGAACTCCCTGCAAGTACACATACAAAGAGGATTCTACCACCATATTTGAATCTCATAGCTTTTCCTTATTAATTCCAAGGAGCTAGTGTCTACAAATCAATTCACACATTAAAATGGTTTAGTAAGAATAAGAGGGTTATTATTTCTATGTGTGTGCTAGTAATAGAGCTTGAACTCAGGATCTTGCACTTTATCACAGCTGGCACTCAACCACTTGAGCCATGCTTCCAGTGGTTGGAAATAGAATCTTGAAGACATTTCTAGCTTCAAATGGTGATGCTCAGTATAGCTAGGATTATAGGCATGGGCCACTGACACCTAGCTAAGAAGATAAATATTTAATAAAAAATAGTCTTCAAAATAAGAAATTAATTGTTCTGACATTTCTATGTGTTATCCCATATTGTGGGCAATAACTAACCCGTTCTTGAATTTTAACTCAGATATGCAAATGTCCATGCAGAAGCATAGTGCTGGGAAAGAGGGATCGATTATGTGGGTCCTGGAATGCTTACTATGGGCAATTGTTGGATTAATTGTTCAGCCAAAGTAGGTCTACAGCATAAATTACTCCTAGGGTAATATATACCCAGACTAAGAATACAAATACAAGATGGCTTCTTAATAATCTGAAAAAACACAAAAGTGACTCCCTTACCCCAATAAAAAAAAGCCAAAAGGATATGACCAACCCAATAAAATCAGCATAAAAATAATTTCCAAAGGCTGTTTTCCTGCTCTTCAGGTTTATGCAAGGGCAGTCCACTGACAGCTGCCTAACATGGGTGTTTTGGAAACCCTGAATATGTACAATCACCAGTATTCTAATTATGAATGAAGCTAAAGAAGATAGCAAAATTTGTCCCTTTCATGAGTCATGTTTGTGCCAACACTCCAAGTATCTCTATTTTATGAAGACAAGAGTTTGTACTAGAGATATGCTGATTGGTCCTTCTATGCATCTGAATATATAACCATATATACAGCAAAGAACACATGCAAGCTATAGAATCTAAGGATTCAAGAAACAAGGCAGAGTGCTATACTGTCTCCTCTGACTAGCAGCAATTAAAAATTCACAGCTGCTGGCTGCCCAGATGTTTCTTGCATTTACTGCTCTGTAATATGCATCAGAATATATTGTGGAACCACAGTTGCAATAAACTAGACAGTTCTCTATTCTAAATTCTGCAGACTGAGATTCAGTGTGCATATTTTATCTTCCGATTAGCTTCCTTCCCCTCCTCCTTCATTTGCTTGTGATCTTTGCAGTTCAGAAACAAAAGACATTTACAACCCAGAGTTGAGCTGTATTGGGGTATAAGTGCAGGTCAGGCCTGATTTATGTGTCACTTCTGATAAGCAGGAAGGAGAGCAGGACATGGGGTTTGGGAAAGCTGGTGAACTTGGCTTGACTTATGTCTTTTGCTTTTGCAGGCAGCCAATATCCCTCTGGTGTCTGAGCTGGCCATTGATGACATCCATTTTGATGACTTTTCCCTAGACGTTGATGCCATGATCACAGCTGCTCTCCGGATGTTCATGGAGTTGGGGATGGTACAGAAATTTAAAATCGACTATGAGGTAAAGTCTGTTCTATGTTGAGAGACCCAAAGATTATACTTGGGACAGCAAGTTCCCCTCTTTGAACTGTAGGCTTCCCTCTAAAAATGAGGGTGAGGATTCCTGATCTGCAACCCTCCTGGGAACACTGAGATTCAGATGGGTGTTTATAGAAGGTGGTAAGGTCTGGCTTTGACAGTGGTCCTCTGGAGTCATATACAACTGCCTGATATAACTTCTTTCTCCTAATGCCAGACACTGTGTAGGTGGCTTTTGACAGTGAGGAAAAACTATCGGATGGTTCTGTACCACAACTGGAGACACGCCTTCAACGTGTGCCAACTGATGTTTGCCATGCTAACCGTAAGTGTGTGCAGTGGGGTAGAAGGTCACCTCCTGTAGTGTGTGGAATCATAGGCCGTCTCTTTCTATTTCTCAGAAAAAAAAAACTGCCATGTGATTACTTCACAGCAGACTTTACCTGCGCTGGTTATGGGAGTAGTTATTTGACCACAGTTACCAACGATGAGCTCTAAAGGTGTGTGTAGCCTTGGCATGAGGACTCAAACCTCTTCTCCATATTCTTTCTTGGTAAACTAGGTCTTTTACAAAAAATGTTTGAGTTTTCAAAGTGTTATCTTGACAGAGGAAACAGAAACACATAACAAGACAAAGAAATCCTTGGATCAGATGCTGGGAAGGCAGGAAAGCCACACTAGGGAGGTAGGAGCATTGCCCACAGGAACATGGAAATCCTAAGAGAACACCTCCAGAGCCTACAAGGAAAACAGGGGTAGATGTTCAAGGCTTATCACTCATTAAGCTTAAACCATCTTTCTTTTGGTTTCCAACTCAGTCTGCTTTATGAAGATAGCCAGGGCAGTAGGTCAGAGGTAAGTCTTGAAACAAACTCAGCAAATGTTTGTGGCAAAGGTTGAAACAAATTCTTCTACTCATCCCCATTTTCTGGCGATTATGATGATGATGATGATAATAATAATAATAAAATTTATTTTGGCTTTAATTCTACTTATACTTTCATTAAGCTATCATCAAGCAAAATGTTTTCTGGCTTAAATACGGTTTTATTGGACTCATAGTAATATATACATACATAGATATAGTTGTGTAAACATATATACCATGTAAAAGAAAGATCGTGAGTCTTCAACTCTTACAATAGAAGTATAAAGACCTTGTATCTTTGCACTGACATTAAGATTAAGACAAAAATCAGGTCTCTATGTGAAATGTATTTTCTTTTGATGAAAATGAATATAGATCATTGGGCTGCTTCTCTATGAACCTCCCAACATCAGCCTTTGCCTGTTAAAGTTTTGTTTATTGTTTAAAGTATTGATCAGATAGTCTTTTTTTTATTAATAAGTTTTTTATTGTGAAAATACCATACAGAGGGGTTACAATTATATGAGCAAGGTAATGAGTACATTTCTTATCAAGCATTGTTGCCTCCTCCTTTGTTTCCCCTTCCCATCCCTGCCCTCCCATCTACGCCAACCCTGCCCCCCCCCAAAGTTGTAAAGTGCATTTTTCGACATAGCATCTTGTACTCACACCAACATCAAATACAGTGAGAACAAGAGGTATACTTGAAATAAAAACTACTTGAGTCCTTATCTTGAGGTTCATTTTGCCTAACATCAACTTATCTGACCTTTTCTGCTTGTCCCAGACATATACTAGTTATTGCAAATAAGGGAAACCGTGGGACCTATGTTTCTTTGGGCCTGGCTTACTTCACTTAATATAATTTTTCCAAGTCTTTCATTTCCTTACAAATGGGGCAATGTCATTCTTTCTGATGGAGGCATAGAATTCCATTGTGTATATATGCCACATTTTCTTGATCCATTCATCTATTGAGGGGCATCTGGGTTGGTTCCATATCTTATCTATGGTAAATAATGCTGCAATAAACATAGTTGTGCTGGTAGCTTTAGTATGGTCTTGTTTGTGATCATTTGGGTAAATGCCCCAAAGTGGGATTGCTGGGTCATAGGGGAGCTCTATTTGGAGTCTTTTGAGAAACCTCCATACTACTTTCCAAAGTAGTGGAACAAGTTTACACTCCCACCAACAATGCAGTAAGGTTCCCTTCTGTCCACATCCCCTCCAACATCTGTTGTTATTAAAGTTCTTGATCATAGCCATTCTAACTGGGGTGAGGTGGTATCTCAATGTTGTTTTGATTTGCATTTCTCTTATGGCTAGAGAGGTTGAGCATTTCTTCATGTGTCTATTGGCCAGATATTCTAGATTTTTTCTTTGCTCCAAAACATCTAGAATTACTTCTTTCTCCACACTGAATCTTTTGTTACAACACAGACCTTTCTACTGGGTGTTTTAAGTTACCATTTTCTTGTTCTCTAATAGTATAAACTTATGGAGCAGAAATCATTTCTTACTCTTTCAATAAAACTCTATGCTGAACATCTATTTATTTATTTATTTATTTCCTTCCTTCCTTCTGCCCATCCTTCCTGTCTGTCTGCCTTTCGGTGATGATAAACTTGAACTCAAAGCCTGGATGCTGTCCCTGGGCTTTTTTAATAAAGGCTAATACTCTACCCACAGCTCCAATTCTAGCTTTTTAGTGGTTAGTTGGAAATAAAAAGCTTCACAGACTTTCCTGACTGAGCTGGCTTCAAACTACAATCCTCAGATCTCCTGATTTGCTAAGATTAGAAACATAAACCACTGGTGCCCACCTCAATACTTATTTCTTTTTAAAAAAATTGCTCAATAGCTATGTACATATGTCCATATAAGCTGATGCTAAGTAAAATGAATTCCAAGACACAGACATGAGGTTTTTCTTTGTTGTTCTTGTTTTTTTTATTTTTTTATTTTTATTTTTTTTTTGTAAAGATACTATACAGAGGGTTAGTTACATGAGTAAGGTAATGAGTACACTTCCTATTGAGCATTATTACCCCTTCCATTGTTTTCCCCCTACCATCCCTTCCCTCCCTACCTTCCCCGAGGTTCTTTTTTGTTTTTTTGATTGTGATTAAGTGATTACATAATTTCCTGAATTTCACAGTATTGTGGAATAATGATGCTCATTTAAAGTCACAAGTTCATTCTAACTTTCCTGGAGCAAATTGTCTATCACAGTCTATAACATATAACGGTATACACATGTTATACACCATACATGTGATCAGCAGCGTGGGGATATTTAGTAGTGGTTCGACCAGATGAGTGGGAGTTCTTTGTTTCTTAAGTCCTGTTAGTTTTGTCATATCACCTAACATTTTGGATTTAGCATCCACTCACCAGGGAGACCATGTACCGTTTGTCTCTTTGCTCTTGGCTTACCTCGCTCAACATGATTCCTTTTAGCTCCATCCATTTCCCTGCAAATGCCATTATTTTGTCATTTCTAATGGCTGCATAATATTCCATTGTGTATAGATAGCACAATTTTTGGATCCATTCATCTGTGGTGGGGCATCTGGGTTGTTTCCATATCCTAGCTATTGTGAACAGTGCTGCAATAAACATGGAAGTGCACGTGTCCTTGTATATTGGTTCCTGTTGCTCAGGGTATGTTGTTCTTGTTTTTAATGTACTATGTGATTTCTTTTTTCTTTTGTGTTTTTTCCACCTGTGGCTCATCCCTGTTGTCACTGTGTTCGATTTTGGTACCCTGGGTATCATATATATATATATACATATATATATATATATACATATATATATATATGAAAAAATAGAGAAGGAAAGGGGAACAACAAAATGGTGAGACAAAGGACAAAAGGGGGAACCAAGACAGTATTTTGAAAATAATCTGTAAAACTTGGGGGGGGGGTTGTGGGGGAAGGAAAGAGGGAGAAAAATGAGAGAAGGGGTAACAAGTTAGACAAGGAATGTATTCATTACATTACTTATGTAACTGTGCTTTCTTTGTACATCACCTTGACAAAATTTTTGTACACTTTTTATTGTAAAAATGCTGTACTGAGGGGTTATAGTTACATGAGCAAGGTAATGAGTACATTTCCTATTGAGCATTGTTGCCTCCTCCATTGTTTTGGCAATAAAATTTTAAAATTATATATTTATTATCTTTAAGTAGCTGTACAAAAGGGGTTATAACTCAACATGTTAACTTATGAGTACAAACATGTTGATCACTATCTCCCCTTTCATCATTCTTGCCAATTCCTCTCAACCCTACCCATTCTTACAATTCCCTCACCAACTCCTTCAATTCTCTCTCCCTCCCTCATTTCCTCTATTCACCTATTTCTTAAGGACCCTACTAGTACCTTGCACTTGATCGTACACTTGGTTGGTTTTCAACACATATACAATGGCTTGGAATCAAGAGCACAGTGAAATAAGAAGACGGGAACAAAATGTCTTCATTTTTTTTCTAGAGGTCTTGTGGTTTGGTTCTTCTTCTGTTTAAGGAACAGTGGGACTGGCCAGAAAAACTGAACTGTCCCTGGCCCTTTGTTGTGAATAGCATCAAATAGTAACCAGTCAGATGAGGAAAGACAATGCTTTGAACTTTGAGGTTTAATTGCTTAAGGGCAAATGTTGTTTGAAAATAAAAATGCCTCCATTTTGCATTTTTCTTTATCAGATCTCAACAGACAAGAAACAATTCATGAGTCTGACTCACAGACAACCATACCTTATTAGCTTGATTGCCTTGGAGAACCTGCAGGTTTGTGGAGTTGGCAAAATAAGAAAGTGAAAGCCTTATTAAACAACAGAAGGAGGAAAGGCCATAGTTCTGTGAGGCAGAGTTGTCAAGGGCAGAGACATAGTTTTATAATGAGTCTCTAATACCTGAGGTGCAGGGATCTAGCAAGTGTGGTGGGTTCATGGTTAACCCTTTGGAACAAAAGAAAACAAGCACTCATTTTTTTTTTCATCTTTGAATATTCTTATGGTATAGACGCTTTACAAGAAACTGAAGAAAACAGAACTTTGAACTTGTGCCAGCACAGGGGAGTATTTAAACCATCAGAATACTACAAGGATGTTGTTATTTTTGTGTCTGCTCAGTAAATTTGAGTGTCATTGTTAGAAAGGGTTTGACTGCATGGCAAAGGACATAGTTAGCAAGATAAATAGAAAGCCCACATATTGGAAGAAGATTTCAACTAGCTGTACAACAGACAAAGGGCTCATATCTAAAATATATTTAGAGCTCAAAAAATCAAACCCCCAAAAAACAAATCCTCAAAGAAACAACCTCCCCATTAATATGTGGGCTTAAGAATTAAAAAGAGTCGTCTCTGGAAAGAATGGCCAATAGATACAGGAAGAAAAATGTTTAACAACTCTGGCCATAAAAGAAATGCAAATCAAAACCACATTGAGAT